TGAGGAGCTCATTCATCAGTTATAATCCGAACTGTGAAACATAAGTACCCACTGTATCTATATTTAATTAAGCTTTCCATATATTTTGCTGTTAGGCTTTGGCCGTGATACAGTTTCTTTGGTAAATGATACAGATTGATTAAAAAAAAAAAAAAAAAGTTGTTAGTTTGTATTTAACACAAATTTGAGGTCAAATAGTGTGCTTTGCAATTTGTATTTCTTTTACTGAATGTTAAAGACAAAACAAAACAAAAAAACACCTTTTTTTTATTAATAGGTTATTATGGCGTAGGTTTCTTTAACCCAAAAGTGTAAAACATGCTGGATTATGAAATCTTGTAAACTGTATGACAGAAAAATATGAATCCTTTCATAAAATTAAAAAAAAATAATAATTGTAAGGTAATTGGGGTATATAGCGTAGTGGTTACGAATCGGGCTGCGAACTTCAAGGTCAGCAGTTCGAAACTACCAGGTATTCCTCGGGAGAAAGATGAGGCTTTCTGCTCTTGTAAAGATTTACAGCCTCGGAAACCCTGTACAGGTTCGCTATGAGTCAGAACCGACTCCACGGCACATAACAACAACAACAAAGTAATATGGGTTTAGCTGTGTGCTGACGACTGGGGAAGGGGGGTAGGCTTTGGTTGGTTGATGGTGCATGGAGGTTGTAACCATGGCAATGAAAGGATATACATAGGATGAATGTAAAGCTAATATTCTCCCATGTAAACTATCACATAATTCACAATAAAACATTAAAAAAATGAAAAAAAAGAAGAACACAGTGTATGGTCTGCCAACCCCAGTCCCATGTGTATACTCCACAGGACTTTCAATGGCTGATTTTTCGGAAGTGCATTGCCAGACATTTCTTCTGAGGCAACTCTGAGTGGACTAGAACTTCCAGCCTGTCCGTTAGTAACAATGCTTGCCATTCTTGCACCACGAACTAAAATGAATGGCAGCGACTATGACAATAATTATTCTGATCATTATTGTATCCATTTAAATTAAAAAAAAAAAAAAAAAATACCCCTATCATCCAAAGACAAGGAGCTCTGGTAGCGTAGTGGTTACGAATCGGGCCGCGAACCGCAAGATCAGCAGTTCGAAACTACCAGCTGTTCTGTGGGAGACAGATGAGGCTTTCTGCTCCCGTAAAGATTTACAGTTTCGGAAACCCTATGCAGGGTCGCTATGAGTCGGTTCCGACTCCACGGCACATAACAACAACAACAATCATCCAAAGACAGCTATGGAGATTTTCACATGTATCCTTAGTCTTTGCTCTGCTCTGTCCACTAACAACATACCGCGAACCTCTTTTTGTATCCATCAATATCCATCTACATCATGATTTAAATGGAATGAAAACTAAAAACGGCAAAAAAAAGTTCTATGGGCCTACATCATGGATCTCATGGTCTAGATACCCCTGACCGGCCTAGAGAATGATGATTTAGGAATCTTTTGGAATATATTTTACTGAACATTTGGAGGTTCAGTAAAGTGTTGTCAGCCTTGGAATATACTGTTTATTGAAGTAAAATAAAAGTTTTGTATCCACTAGTAAGGGAGCATTGGTGGCTCCATATGATAAGCAATGGGCTGTGAACCACAAGGTCTGAGGTGAGCACCTACTATAGCTGTTCTGTGGGAGAAAGATGAGGCTTTTTGCTCTTATAAAAGATGACTTTTTTAAAAGCCTTGGGTCATAATGAATCCAAACTGACTCCTCGGCACTGAACAACAATCCTCTAGTAAAATGTAGGACCACAGCTCTGAGGTCTAGAGTTGAAAGTTCCTTTCATTTTTAGGCAGGGTGGAGAAGATGACTGGTAATTTTAGACGCTATCTTTTTTTTGTTATGGTTAAAGATTCAAATGTATGAAGTATAGTCTCAGAGAGTAGTAAGATGTTAGATTAAATTTTTGTCAAATAGGGACACTAGTAAGAATTTAGGTTACTTTGTTGACTTACGTAGTCAGTCCAAAGGGCTCTTGATTGCATCTTAAAAGCCAGTTTATGAACTGACATACACTGTTTAGTTGCATGTACATCATTAGTTTTGCTCTCTACTGAAGACGTCCCTTTAGTTAAATTTGTAAACCCTAACTAAAAATGTTTTACTACATTCTAACTGAGTAAAATGTTTTAGTGGTTTTCTTGCAGAATTTGAGTTCTTATTTGCTGGTAGATTTCATTGCAAGTATTTTCTTCAAAAGGAGCCCTGATAGCTTAATGGATTATGAGCTGAGCTGCCAACCATAAGGTTAGCAGGTTGAATCTACCAGCTGCTCCTTCAGAGAAAACATTTACAGTCTTGGAAACCCTATGCAGTGTTGATAGGAGTTGAAACTGACTTGATGGCACACAACCACCATCAACTACCTACCACCGCCTCATACTAGTACTTAATAACCTTCTGGATCTAATATTATATATTCCTTATGTGTTTCATATAATATGAAGTTTATTTATTTCATTTATAGTGTACTTTGGTTTTAGAGTTCATTTACTTTTACCTGTCTCTACCCATTTATACTCATTTTTATTACATGGGCTTTATTTGTATTTTATGAAACAATTTTAAAATGTCCTTTATTTTATTATTCTGTGCTGATCTACTTCCCCATTATTGTTAATTGAATGTTTACTCTAATAACCTACCTAGGTTTTAGATCTTTTACTAGATTCCAAAATATCATGTTTCTGGAAGTAAAGCAGGGATAAGTTATATAGCAACAGAAAGTTATAAGCATTTTTATATAAAGACAATTAAAATTCCAAGTTATATAATTCACTGAGTTATTACCTCTATTTTTATAGTAGAAACTCATTATTGGGTGCTTGTTGATATAAGACAGTATATTAGGGACCTAAGTGAATTCAGTTAAACTTACCATGATGTCTCCCTGAAGGTTTTAAATTCTAAACTGTAGATGTGGGCCACAGTTTTGATGTCAGCTTGTCTTTACTGTTATTAATCATACAAGGTGAATACATTTGGTCTTAAGGGCAAACATCATTGAGCCCTTGTATTCAGGTAGAAAGAGGAAGCTATGTAGTAGGGTTCAGTACTTGTAGAATGTAATAACAGAGTTTTAGAGCTGCTTAATGAAGGAGGGTAAACGGACAAGACAGGCTTCTTGCAGGTTTGGGGAGTCTCATCCAAGGGCTGCTTACTGGAAGTGAGAAATTTCTTTCAAGTTGTATGTTTAGATTTGGAAAATCCTGGGAGTCTTTTGACCCACCTCCTAATAGAGCCATGTTCGTTACAGAATATAAACAAATTTGAGTTCGCACTTGATCATTGGGTTAAAATTAACACTCTGGAAGAGTCTTCAGTTTAATTTAAGTGTTGGCATAGCCCTGGCACTTTTCTGCCCTGGTGTAAGTGGTCTAGTTTGAGAGGCAAAGGGTAGTAGATGCGAGCTTGGACTCTGGAAGCAGCGGTCTCTCCCTGGGTTCCGTTTCTTTGTAAAATAAGGTTAATAATGCCTGCCTAGGAGAATTTTGTTAAGATTGGAAACAGAATGGACCCAGCACATAGGAAGTGCTCAGTGAGTTGTGACTGTCATTTTTGGTCTTAATACTTTGCCCTAGTGGTCTTTCTTCACTCCCTAATGAAGATTCTGATAATTTTCAGTGTTAAGAAATAGCTGAAGTGGTAGTTTCTGAATTGCTTACAAATGATTACTTTAGTCAACCATACCCTTCCACTGAGAGAACTGTCTCGTGGGATTGCTAGGCATTTTTGGAGGTGAATTAACTCCATTGGAGTATCATTTAGTAGATAGCCAAGTGCATCTTGTACCCTGGAGGCCCCATCAAAATCAATGCACATCTCTGAGTGCCTGGAATGCTCTCAGGGAATGGGACCATCATCCATGAAGTGCACTGAATGATGGCTAGCTGCCTGTTTGTGTTGTTTTAATAGTTAACACATTTTGAGATTTTATTACATGCTGGACACTACACTTAGGTAATCCTACTTATCACCACTTCATTTCATTCCCTTTTCTCAACACTGTTGTTAGATGGGTGGTGATTTACTGAATTTCCTGAGTCAAAGCAAAATGGTGGGTCCTAGTCTTTCAATTCTACTTGGATTGCTACATTTTCTAAAGACCAAAGTATCCTCTGGGAGGGAGTTGGTTAATCACTGGGAAAACTACATTTATTTTATGATGATGAGAAATAGCAATAATGACTGTGATCTGTTTAGTATTTATAAATATATGGAAGAGGAGACAAAACAGATTGCATTTTCATTTTCTGGATAAAACTTCAAGGTAATGGGCCCCAAATCATGTTCAGTGATGACTGACTTGAGTCTAGGAGCCAGGTCTTTGACCCTTATATGTTGTAGTCTGATAGTTTCTTTCCTTTTAAAAAGTATTGTTATTATGCAATAGGAAATTTGGGGAGGGTGAAAATTATGCTACTCAGGAGCCATTGTGTGATCCCTAGAACTCTCAGTTTGGAATCTATGACCCCTATTTAGTGAGCCCTACAACATCTCTCTTTAAATAACCGAATGTTTGTTTTCACAGACAAAACCAATCAATTTGAAGTTTTGGTTTTTCCTGGAGCAACACACATATATTCTAGTATATTAAATAAATTTAGATGTGGGAGTCGTCTTTATACATACAGTTTAGCTCTGCCAAAAAGTCTGTTTATAATGGTGAATAATAGATGAAGAAACCAATATTTTGCATTATTGATACATGCTCTTCTTTCTCTTTTCTTCCTGAATAGGGAGAAAAAAATTTCAGACGTCAACCTATGAAGCCCGGGAAGACAACCCTGAATAGCAATGGTGAACAGTGTTGTCGTTAGACTCATTCCGCAGAGCATCTGAAATGAACCTCTCTTATTGATTGTTTTTATTGGCGTAGAGCCAGGAGCACTGGATTTCGTTGCCTTCAGGATAAAAAGAAAGCTCCTGGTTATCAACATAAACATATGAACCAATGTGATGGTGAAATGAGATGAGGCTCCGAAATGGAACTGTAGCCACTGCTTTAGCATTTGTCACCTCGTTCCTTACCCTGTCTTGGTATACTACATGGCAAAATGGGAAAGGTAAGGAAATAGCTGACAATGTGCATGGAAGATAGACGCTTTACTGTGTAAATATAGGCAGTCCCTAGATTATCAACGAGTTCCCGTCCTAACTCTGTCTTTAAGCTGAATTAGTTGTGGTTCATATCTAACTTTAGTTAGTCAGATGTTTGTCTTAGTATATCTAGTATATGCAAGAAGACTTCAAAAGTTCATGGAAAAATGGAATTAAAAGAGAATGGAATTCTTCCACACAGTTTTTAAAGTTCACCTGTCTATGCATAAGAAATGTCCAAAAAGCATTAGCAGTGCCCTAAAACAGCTGTCGCATTAAACTGCAGCAATGGTAACGTGTCGCCGAGTAGTGCCCATTTGTTTTTATGAACCCTGGCACGTGTCTGGAGTTTTTAATATGTTAGACTTTACAGAGGTTGCTTCATATTACGGGTTTGTGGATTTGTACTTGCGTTGCAGGATCACAACCTCGGGACTGTCTGTGGTGCATAAATATTTGGGCTAAATCTTCTAACCAACTATCTGCTGGTGGCCTGGGATTTTCACCTGTTGTAAAATGAAGCCATTTTCTTGGAGGGATGAAAGAGAGGGAATTTCTAATTAGAATGGAATTTGTTTGTTTTCCATTTCTTTTAATTGCACTTGGAGAAACAAATACAGAGCAGTGCTTTATATTATACACAGGACAGTCAAGTTGAATAATAAAGGTTTTTGTTTTGGCATTTTATTTTTTATTATTAAACATCATAAATGTTTAATAAGCTTCCTTGTACTGAATGTTGTATAAGATGCCTGAAAGGACACAATCATTCCCATCAGGAAATTTACATGCTAATTATGCCAGTAATTTGGTACTATGTAATTTGTAATTTAAACTGCAGAGGTGTTGACAAATTACTCTTTAGGCAAAAGTGTCTAGGATGAGGATGGGGAAACGAATATCTTCAAATTTGAACTGGTCTTTAGAAGGGTCTCTGTTCATTGATTAGAACTCTATTCAGAGATAATGCATTTGTTGGTAGGTTTGTTTTTGAAGAGCCCATATTTGGAGTACATTTCCATCCACACCTGTTGCCTGTTTCCTTGTCTTAATCTCATGAATGCTGATGGCGAGATGGGTCGAAGTGTTGAGATGGTTCCACACCTAGTTTGCTAGAGTCAAGTTATGGGTGATTTAACCCATCATCACCTGGGTTATTTGAAGATGTGCTTGTTATCATTATTGAATTATATGAAGAAGACTGAAAACATGAATTCCCGATGTAGTTTTTTCTGATATGTTATATTACTCATTGACATTGAGTTAGTTCTGATTCCAAGGCTGTAAATCTTTATGGGAGCAGAAAACTTCAACTTTAGACATGTATGTGTGTATGTGTACATATCTAGGTATATTTAAAATAAGCTGTTATGAGTGAAAAACATGCTCTGTTTTGAATAAGTACAGTATTCTTCTATCACTTCCTTTCTCTGAGTCAGGCTCTTATTTTGGAGGGGAACTCTTTGGGAAAAAACAAGTAACATTCTAAAGTTTCTTTTTTCCCTCTTTGTTTATAAGTGTATACATTTTTTGGCATTTATTTTTTAATTGTACCCAAAAGACAAGACTAACTTAGCAAGAACTTTGAAAAGTTAATTCAACCAAACAGTTGACCCTTCCCTGACACGAACAAAATCAATAACTGACCCTTGAAAGTGTACTTAGGAAATAGGAGACCTGACAATGCAAAAAACTTGTGGATTTTTCCTTGTCAGGAAACTGTCTATTCCTTCAGTTATAGTAGTGGAGAAAATTAACACTTCCCATGGACTTATTTAAGGGATCAAGCATTTTAAACTCTTCATTTCATTTCTCTTGCTTATGTAAAATTATCATAGACGTTAATTTTTAAAGTTGCCTATCTTCATAATCAAAACAGCTATAAATATAAAGATTCTTTCAGTAAGTAGTTTTAGCCACCTGGAAGTAGAGAGAGAAATCTTCTCTCTTTGATTATTACTCTGAGCAGTTCTGTGTATATGTATACTATTTGCTGCTGTGTTTTTCTGCTCATTATTTTGCTCAGCACTTTGGGTATCAGTATTGATCTACTGTGGTGGTTGTATAAAATCCACTGCATTTAATTGCTATTGTTTATGAAACCACTCTTAACTGTTGAGCATGTGGATTCTTTCTAGCTAGTTCTGGAAGTCATATAGCTTAAATTTTCCAGAGAAGGCCTGATTTCAGAAACTCAGTTCTCATATCCCCATAAACCATGTGATCTGATTATTACTTTGAAAGCATGGTTGCCATCATCATAGACATTACTGGATGAAGAATTTTTATTTTTCACTCAACGATCCCTTACATGTACCTACTCTGTATTTTATGTGTGTACTGGATTATATATTGCTAATACAAAAAAAGAATAAAAACCTTTGGAAACCTCACAGCCTTGGCTGGAAAGATGCAAGCAGACAAATATGATGTTATCAGAAAAGTATGCCAGAAGCAATAACATTATGCTGAGCTTGTACTATAATCATCAGCATATTACATATATTATCTCATTTAATCATCTTAACAATCCTGTAAGGTATTATTACCCTCTTTCTAGAGAAGGTGAAACCAAAGCAGAGTAGTTGAGAAACTTGCCAAAGGTCATACATTAAGTGGTGGAATTGAAGTTTGAACTTAGGCAGAACTTATGCACTTGACTATTCTGTGCTGCCCAGAAGAGCAGACAGAAGCTCCTAACTCAGGTGCTTCCCTGAGGAAGTAGAATATGAAGGATGGTGGTGAAGGTGATGCCAGCAGAGCAGGGGGAGTGGACCTATCAAGTGTAGCTGGGAAAGGGTGCAGTGTATTTATGCTTTGGAATTGTGAGGGGCTTATTATGACCAGCACACAGGCTTCCTGAAGTGTCTCAAGGTTTCAGTGGGAATCAGCATGGCTTCCAAAAGTGCATGTGGTTTGTCTTAGGTCTTTATTCGCCACCTACATACCCAAAACTTGAGTTGGTCCATGAAACTGGAATAGGTTGGAGATAATGACAGGAACTCTGCCAGAAGCTCTGGCACGTAAGATAAGGCACCAAGTTCAGCAGGGTATGTAAGTTTCCTACAAAAAAATGAGGCAGAATTTTAGTTATGTGAATTGAACAAGTTAGGGAAGTTGTAAACAGGTATTGAGAAAGTAGATAAAGAATAAGTACATAGTTCACTTGATAGAGGAGGGAGAGCTCCTCATGAACCTCCTACTTTGGTCATGTAAGCGCTGAACTGGTAACCACTAGGCTGGCGGTTCAAACCCATCAGCCATTCTCAGAAACCCTATACAGAGTTAGAACCAACTCGACAGCACTTAACAAAAACAAATCTTTATGGAAGCAGATGTCTAGGGCTTTCTCCTGAAGACCTGCTGGGTGAGTTTGAACCAGCAACCTTTGGTTTTACTTAACCATTTGAGCTACGAGGACTCCTTTGTGTCTCCTTAGTCTCCTCCATTCTGAGGAAATTTCTTAGTCACTGTCCTTTGTGTTCCTTACACTTTTAAAGAGATTTGACCAGTTATTTTGTAGAACATCCGTTAATTAGGGTTTGTCTGATGTTTTCTCATGGTTAGATTGAGATAATGCATGTTTGACAAGAACCCCTTAGTATTTTTTGTGTGTTGTATCAGGAGGTGTACTTTGTTGTGTCTTGTTACTGGTTATGTTAACTTTGATCCCCTGGTTAAAGTGATGTCTGTCAAATTTCTGTCAAAGTAACCGGCAAGATACTTTTTTGTTGTTGTTGCTTTGTGTAATTAGTAATCTTTTTATGGAGGCATACTTTGAAACCAAGCAAATATCCTGCTTCTCATTATACTTCCACCCACTCATTTTTTACATTCCTTGATGATTTTTGCCTGAAACAATTATTACTGTGTTGTTGGCCAAGTGCAATTTTCTGTTTCCATCACACCTTCTCCATTCATTAATTGGAACTCTACTGTAAGGAAGAGATGTCTCTTTTCCCCTAATTCCTTTCTGTATTAAATTCTTTATTTACATGAATATGTACTCATGGATGTTTGTTTTCTTGTATGACCTGTACTCCTTTATTATCATTAATTATTTTATTGTTTCATTTGCCCCTTAAGTAACTATTGGGAGCTCCTTCAAGTTGGCTCCTGTACCTCTTGACATGCCCCATCATTTTTTTGTTTTTGTTTTTAATGTATTGAGGTGAAATTCACAGAAGATGTAACCATTTTAACATGACCAATCCATGGCAGGTAATACATTCACAGTGTCATGTAACCCTCACCACTATCTAGTCCCTGTCATTTCTTGAGTAGTTTCATACTTTCTAGCACTGCAAGATGCCCCAGACTTGCCCAGGTCTGGGCTAGAAAATGTGAAGTTCGGGGTGCTCATTTGTACTATGTATCAATACTGCTAATCCCTCCCTGTAGACCGAGCTTGGATATATATGTATCTATACAGACACACAGGAGCCTTGGTGGCTCTGTAGCATAAGTACTGGACTACTAACCATAAGGTTAGCAGTTTGAACCTACCAGTCTCTCTGCAGGAGAAAGATGAGGCTTTCTGCTCCCATAAAGATTCACAGCCTCAGAAATCCTGTACTAGGTTGCTGTGGGTCAGACCTGACTCAGTGCCAATGGGTTCAGTTTTTTATTGAGTTTGGTTTGTGCACATACTATAAACATTGGACTGCGAATCACAGGGTCTGTGGTTCGAGCCCACCAACCGCTCCATATGTGAAAGATGAGACTTTCTGATCCCACGAAGATTTAAAGCCTCAGAAACCCTGTACAGGATCACCAACTCCACAGCACTTAATAATGCATATACATGTCTGTATCTATTTCTGCATCCATCTGTATATATGAAACCACTACCACTGCAAGTTCATACTAATCCTCTGATTTCAATCCAATACTTTAGAGTTCATTCTTGTCTCCCATTTTCCTTATTTCTCTGACAATAAGAAATTTGGCTCTCAATATAATTACT